TTGGTAAATGACAGTTCTAATATTTATCACAAATATAAATGTACATCATTACTTAAACAAATATTACCACTCAGTTATTCCACAAACTATTGTTCAATTATTCAAATCAACAGCAGCAGATAACTGATATTCTATCCTTTCTGGATAGACCAGACTTGTTCGACAGATAATATCTGGTTGCTTTATAACACAGAGTGTTTTCTATTCTAGAAGAGTGCTTCAATTCACAGTCGAAATGCACAATTCTAGTCAGTAGCAAGCAATCCAATCAAAAGAAGCGCAAATCAATATGGCTGTCGCCATGACTAAGTATCAGCTTAAACAACAACATAAATGCAGTTCAGAAAGAAACATGGAAACTCAGTAAAGGCACAAAAAATAGAAACTATAATAAAATACACATATTATCATCTCAAAATGGAATCAAACAGACTTCACAAAATGTACTACAACTGAAAGAATCAATAAGGACAGATTACAGCTGTGTATACATGGAGGGATTTTCACAAATAATACCTTCAAAAATGGATCTTACATTGTTCAAAATCTTAGATTGATTAAAGTTAGTTATTAACAAGGTTGGATTTTACCGGCCCAGTGGTTGAAGGATAAGAATTCTTGAAAGAACTCAAAAGTTAATAGAGATTATGAAGAAAAATATCATTTAACTGGGCGTGTATAGTAAACCAAACCAAAAGGCAATGTGTTTCAAAATACTTATAAACATTATGTTTTTGGTAAGCAATTGTTGATAGATTTTTGTTGTGTATTTCAGATCAGAAAAACGACATAGAAACTCCTTTTAGGTTTGAGTGAAATGTGAAATTTTTTAGAATTGACTTTTTTTAATCTATCCATTTTAAGTTCGTTGACATCCATTATTCTCATTCTGCCTTATTTTGTGTATTTCTTTATACTACTTGTTATTATTTAGTAGACAAGAAATATTTATAATAATTTTTAAGTGTTTGGTGCAATGTCAATTTTTTTGTGATGTAAAATCCTAAGGACAAAATTTATTGTATTTCTCAGTATAATTGCTTTCTACGAAATCTTGTTTCAGTTATTCTCAGTTTTGTACATGCTTTGTATCTTTATTTAAATGCAACAGCTTCCGAATTGCTGTGTGCTCCATGTTCAAATCATTAATGTTGAGATAGATTGTAGTGTGCCGATAACTGCGTGTTCTTAAGCTCGGTTTATAGATCAGAAGATGAACTCGTATTGATGAATACGTTTATTCGAGGCACACCACAAAGCGAAGCGGAGAAGCGAATGGGAGAAGGCTGTTGAGCCAACTCAAAGAGATAGGACATGACTAAGAATATATAGTCAGACCAAAAATAAGACAGACATATGACAAGCGAAATAGGTATGCACACACATGAATAAGAGCGACTAATGATTGACAAGGTCAAAAGCAAGCGATACAAATCATGTGAGTTCATAGGGATATTAAGAGATTAACATTAAAGCGAAAAGGATGAGTAAGCGCGTAGGCGTAAGCAATGTTCAGTCGTACAAGCTCATACAAACCAGATAATAAAAATTACCAATGGTACATATGAGTTGTTGCTATACAAATGGCTTGTCTAAATAGATTAATCAAAAGGGCTTAAGCAAATTAAATGAAGGCGGATACAAACAAATGTGGAGGCACTACAAGATAAATAGAAAGATAGTTGTGTGGATAGATTGATAGACAGATAGATCAGCTGTGAACCTCAATTCATGAGGTATTCACGGTGATCAACGCATCTTTACATCTACAACGAAGAGTTATTCCTGCAATAATAACCTGAAAAGTAAGTAAGTAATTAAGTCAGTAAGTAAGTGCATAACTGCATAAGTAAATAAATAAGTGAGTAAGTATGTAATTAGTGTGTAATAATGTATTCATGATAACATACATACATTAAATAGTTACTTTACTGATGTTTGTTATCCATCTTGGTGTATAGGCCGCCAACGAATAATCTTCAATCTCCACAACGAAAACATCCAACTTCACTACCATTACTATTGATTTATTTAGTAGAAAATTCATAACTACTTTATAACAAATTAAAGTAGCATAAATCTATGTACAAAAAAAAACGCATTATGGAACTGCGCATTATCGATCGAAAATACCAAGTGAGTGTAATCATGCTAAGCAAACAATGAAAATTCTGATTTGGATCGATACAGTTTTATTGACGTAAACTTTTTACTCAAACTAATCTATGACGTATATATCCATGTTGTAAGTATAACAATGAGGAATCAGTGTGATTTAATTCTCAAAAATTTGATAGACTCATAATTTAGAAAAAAAGAGAACCTGAAGTGATTGAACTTGATTGTGTAAATCTGTAAATGACTGATGTGAACAATGGTCAAAATACCAATTTACTACATAAATATTTTAAGTGGACTGACAGTACATGTGATTTGATGAATGATAGATTGATTTCTTGATTTCTTCCTCTGATGGTCGTTTTCTCCCACAATTGGTCATTGTTGATGGTGTACGGCCGACGGATCTGAAGTGTTTGCGTAGACAACTGTTAATGCACAAAAATACGTGATTCAAAAATTTTTTTAGACGCTATGAATTTCATTACTCTAACAGTTACATAACCTGCGTCCAATGCGTTTCGCTGATCCCAAGCACCTCCAGGTTATATCTTTTCATTTGTGCAGCTAATTGGAATAGTCTACCATTCTTCCACAATGTTCGGACGTTCCATGTACCTAAAAGAATGGTTGCTCTGGTTGTCAGAAGGGGCTTCGGCCTCGTGACTTCCCAAGGAACTTGGCTTTCATCCTGAGACGTTGTCTACGAAAAATACTTGTGATCTGTTGGCCAGACACCATCAGCAACAACCTACTGTGGGAGAAAACAAACCAGATTCCAGTGGAGGAGGAAATTAGAAAGAAGCGATGGAAGTGAATAGGACACACATTGAGGTAAACACCTAACTACGTCACAGGACAAACCCTCTCTTGGAACTCTTAAGGTGAAAGGAAAAGAAGAAGGCCAAGGAACACATTACGCTGAGAACTAGAGAAAGACATGAAAAGAATGAACAAAAATTTGACAGAAGTGGAAAGGGAAGCGCCAGGACAGAGTTGGTTGAAGAATACTGATCGGCTGGCTATGCTTCATTGGGGGTAACCGGCGTAAGTAAGCAAGTAAATAATTGTTATAAAACACACATATAATATAATACCCTGTTCTAGCCATGCAAAAATAGAAATATCAAATACAATCACTAATGTAGACAAGATTTCTACTGAACTTATAATAACCGTTGCGACTGAGTTAAATTCTAAGTAGAGCTTACCAATTTAGTGGCTCATGATCTGATTTCATTTTGTAGGAACAGTCTGAATATACTATGAAATAAATCTCCCCCTATGATTTTCGTATGTTACTTTTAGGCGAACCCCGTCTGACCGATGGCGGTCATTGAAAGCCCTATGCAATTTTATGTGGATGAATTAATTTCATACATTTATTCAAGCAGACAGACAATTAAGAGAGAAGTGTGTAAACGAAGCAAAGTGAAGTGGAGAAGGCAAGTAGGCAAACTTCATGTCATCAGGCATGACTAAGTATTTATAGTCAAACAAAAAATATTATTAAGACATGTGTGAAGTCAGTAAGTAAGCACACACTCAATTAAAAACATCACCAAGGATATGAGTGAATAACTGACAAGGTCAAGAGAAGTTTGGATAGTGACTCCAGAAGAATAGATTAGTTATTTTTGTCCAAAGGCTAAAACAAGCCATATTGGTTCGACATTTTGGTACGACCTTATCTCGTGAACTATCTGGAGAACTATGAAAGCCATCATCCATAAGATACAAGTGTTTATTAACAGTTGTCTATGCAAAATACTTCGGATTCGTTGGCCAGACACCATCAACATCAACCTACTGAGGGAGAGAACAAACCAGATTCCAGTGGAGGAGGAAATCAGGAAGAAGCGGTGGAATTGGATAGGACACACACTACGAAAAGCATCTAACTGCGTCAAAACACAAGCTCTCACTTGGAACCCTCATGGCAAAAGGAAAAGAGGAAGGCCAAGGAACACATTACACCGAGAAATAGAGAAAGACATGAGAAGAATGAACAAAAACTGGAAAGAACTAGAAAGGGAAGCCCAGGATAGAGTTGGTTGGAGAAAACTGGTGTGCGGCCTATGCTCCATTGTGGATAACAAGCGTAAGTAAGTAAGTAAGCTTATCTTGTGATCAGAGTTAGACATTAACGCTGTCGGGTGCTGGCCCAATGGTCCAGAGGTTAGGCATTCACCAGCCCGAGACCAAAGGTGATACATTTCGATTCCTGATAGGACTGGATGCACACTGCCACTGATGAATCCCATACAAGGACAAAATGACCAGCCTAACAATGATTGATTCATGAATTCAAAAGGAATCGGTTAAACAGCCACATTCCTTGTACCAATCATCCATAGACAACTTATAGTGAAGGAGAAGACAGGTGGGGCAACGGAATTGTATTTAACGAGAATTACAGAGTTACTCAGTAAAATCGGAAAACCATACCGTAAATCGTTCATTTGCAAAATATCAGTTCATCATATCGAACTGGACTGTTCCTGTTGCAAAACATCAATCCATTGTCACTACTATTCATGCGTTTGTTTCATACAAATTCCATTGTGTTCCCACTCTTCCTTTCTTGATCTTCCCCCATCTTCTGCTGCCAGACATTACGTTGACACTCACGTCATATACTACTACTTATAAGTAGCTCGCACCACAAAATTTTTTTGAGACAAAATCTCTAATTATCATTTTTTATAAAAAAATAAGTTTTATTCTGAAATAAAAATGATTATGAAAATTAACTACACGCTGAATCAAAGTTCAACATTTTCACGACATGACAAAGTACAGATTGATTTCCGAAAAAACACCTCTTTCTCTCTCTCTGATCATAAAAGTCAACTACTCCTTTCATGTCTTCATTAGTCAAGACTCACATCAACCGTAGAACATGATGCAATATATTTTTACATTTTTGCTTTTCTGCTTCATATTACCGCATGAGATTCATTCGAGTTATAAGCAATTATGGTCAGCATGGAAATCTCGCTATCATAAACAATATTTAAATCAAACGGAAGAACATATTCGCCAGCGAATTTGGCATAAAAATCTTGTCAAAATTCATTTACATAATTTACGTTATGATTTAGGTTTGGAAACATATTCTATTGGATTAAGTCGTTTTACTGATATGCAATGGGATGAAGTGTATGCCAGGTATCATCAAGCGAATAAGCCATTGATACTGCCTGAATCCATGATCATTGAAGAAGATAGTGTCAACGGTGATGATGTCGATGTGAACAATGTCGGTTGGACACCGGATTCATATGATTGGCGTCATTTAAATGTAGTGAATGAACCAAGAGATGAAGTATGTTGTCATGTAATCACGATCATGCTTATTATTCATGATGTGAATGTATGTATGCGAGCTCGTATTTGTTGGAGGCTTACTGGACGTAGGGAAAGACATCGTACGAAAAGCCTCTTAGGGTTTTACTTGATGATAATCAAGCTAAGAATATATTTCAGGAGTAACTAGAAAAAACAGTTAGGCGACCATGCAAGTTATTCCCATCCGAAGTCAGGTTGGAATCATATCAAGAAGGCTGTGGAAACAGCAGTGGTATCTGCTTGTAAGGTAAACCATAAGGCTAGAATGAAGCCATGGATCTCTGTAGCATCCACCGATCTGATGGATGCTCGAAAACTCATCCCACCTGGCTCTGAACATAATGAAGAGCGTAGTCAGCTTAGGTACAGATTTATAAAAAGCCTACGTAACGATCGCGAACAGTGGTGGGTGGCGAAAGCAAAAGCGATGGAAAAGGCAGCGGCGATCGTCAACAGTAGGCAACTTCTCCGACTTATCAAGGAAACTGGTATTAGGAATCCTAGTGTAAGTAAGACTATCTCAGAAAATGACGGGACTATTATTTATTCTCAATCCAGGAGACTGGATCGATGGGCAGAACACTTTAGGGATCAGTTCAACTGGCCTCGAGCCACATTTCGGTTACCCACGATCCCCAGATATCCTGAATGGCCAATCGATTTAAGTCCTCCTAGTCTACATGAAGTTGAAAAAGCTATAGGAAATCTGAAGGGAGGTAGAGCAGCAGGTGCTGATAGACTGACCCCTGAAACTTTTAAGGATGGTGGTCCAGTTTTAACAAATTGAACATTATGAAGTTATAAGGTAGATAATATTTTGTTTGATACTACAATAAAGTTTTTTAACTGAGTTAATGTTAAGTGATTCATTCATACAGAAGTGGACACAGATATGAAAAGAATGTCCATGGGATTGTGTAGAATCGCAGAGAGAAAGCACTAGAACAGAATTGGTTGTAGAATGATGGTCAGCGACCTATGCTCTATTACGGGTTAAATAGGTGTAAGAAAGTAAGTATTGTTGGTTAGGGTGGTCAGAAGACTCTGCATTTTGTCAGCGTCTTCATCAAGTAGAACTGTGTCATCAGCATATTCTAAGTCAACAAGTGGGTATCCCGGTAAACGTTCAACTCCTGAAAATTCAGATGATGCAAGTGTTGTACCTAAAAGCATGTCAATGGCAAAGTTAAACAAGAATGGAGAAAGTGGACATTCCTGACGGACACCACTTGAAGTAACTAATTCTGATGACAGTTCACCATAAGCTCTCACTCGACCAGTAGTGTTCAAGTAGAGAGCTTGTATAAGGTTAGTCCGCCTTTTAATGACAGACACTGCCACCGAAACTCACGATCCACTGAGTCAAATGCCGCCTTAAGGTCCAAGAACACAACTACTGTCGGACGTCTAAATGCATGTCTGTGTTCCAGGACCTGTCGTAGTGTGAAAATGTGGTCTATACAGTCATGTCCAGGTCTGAAGCCAACCTGGTTTTCTCGAGTGTGCACTTCACGAGCTCTAGTAAGGCGTCTAAGTATAATCGAGGCTAACAATTTAGAAACTATATTAGTTAGACTTATTCCCCTGTGATTGTCATAAGAAGACTTTTGTCTTTTCTTGTAGACTGGGACAATCAGTGATTGAGACCAGTCAGATGGGATTACGTCCAGTTCCCAAATTCTACCTACTATATCAGTCGATCTAACCGCAAAAAATGGACTACCATCCTTACAAATCTCAGAAGTCAATCTGTCAGGCCGTGCTGCTCTCCCTGGCTTTAGATTTCTTATAGCTTTCTCAACTTCATAAGTGGATTCGCCATTCAGGATGACTGGAGATCGTGGGTAACCGAAGTGTGGCTTAAGACCAGTTCAACTGATCCCTAAAGTGTTCTGCCCATCGGTCCAATCTCCTGGATTGAGAATGGATAATAAGACCATCCATTTCCGAAATAGTCTCACTCACATTTATGTTCCTAATACCAGTTTCCTTGATAAGTCAATACAACTGTCTGTTGTTGCCTATTGCCGCTGCCTTTTCCATGTCTCTCCGTTGCTCTACCCACCACTGTTCTCGATCATTTTCCAGGCTTTTTATCAGTCTGTGCCTAAGCTGACTCCGCTCCTCATAGTACTCAGAGCCAGACGGGACGAGTTACCGAGCATCCATCAGTTCGGTCGATGCTACTCAAATACACCGTTTACCCCCAACATTGTGATATCACTTTTGTTCCCACAGCTTTTTGGATATCATTTTTCAAGCTGTCTCGGCATAGGCATCACTTACTACATGACTGCCTAATTGTTTTTCTAGTTGTTCCTGAAATATATTCTTAGCTTTACTATCATTAAGTAGAGCCCTATACGGTTTCCTCACGGTGTCTTTCCTACGTCCAGTAAGACGCAAACAATTACGCGCACGCAAGACAAACGAAGAAAAACCAAATATCATCTACAAAATAAATTGCTCTCCAGCTTCGTCTAAGTGAATACCAATTAGCAGTCAAAGTTTACAACAGTTCTTCACTGACATCAACACACACCGACAATTATGGACATACATTCGATTGGGACAATGTGGAAATATTGGATAGGGGGAGGACAAAGAACACTAGAGAATATCTTGGAAGCTTGGCATTCAGGTCAGTCAGCAAGCAACACACACATCAACATTGACCCAATTTATCAACCAATCAGAAAAAACATAGGTGACATAGGGTCAAGAAACAATAGGGGGATACAATCAAAACAAAGGTGCAAAAAACGACAGGTTTAAGGTCGACAGCAACAAATCAAGATCGAGGTTAGCAGAACAAGCTACAGGTCAAACGTGGAGAAATTCGAATACTTCACTTCCATCTTATGTTGTTCAGAAGAATGATGAAAGCTTTACAACCAAAAATATCCAGTTCAGAGAATGAAAAGGCAGCGTCGCTGCAGATTCCGGTTGTCATTACTAAAGTCATATCCCTCTACAGTCAGTCAGCAGCACGAAATCCCCCTTCTGAACTCGAGTTACTGCTTGTAGTCTTACGATTCTCAAATCGACCTGCCTGGCATGATAGAACCTAAATGAACATATGTTCCAGCCTATATAGCTCGGTTGGATCATCACGATAGATAAGCCTGACGACCACGTCAAGGTAGCAGCTACGGTCGGGATTTCGCAGCATAATCTATCATAGGAGTTCCATGTGATATTGACTATCTTCCTCTATAGCGCCACCCTGTTCACGCTGTCGAATGCTTCTACCGTGATGAAATCCACCCAACTTATTGTTCCACAACGATCCATAGTGTCTCGATTTAGTCGGTACACGAATGATCCTTAAGAAATCCAGCCTGCTGATCTCAAAGTTGAGAGTCTACCAAATCCTTCATTTTGTTTAGCAACACCCTGTTGAAGACTTTGCATGGTATTGAGAGAAGAGTGATGCCTCTGTAGTTCTCACACTTGCTGAGATCGCCATTCTTTGGTATCTTGATCACGAATCCTTCCTTCCAGTCAGTTGGTTCTTGTTCTTCATCCCAAATCTTGCTGAGCAGAGCGTAGAACATCTTAGCTGTTACTGTTATGTGTGCTTTCAGTGAATCTGCTGGAATTTTATCTGGTTCCGCCGCTTTGCCGCTCTTTATTTGTCTGGTAGCCATGCTGATATCTTCCATTGTTGGTGGGCCAACATCCATTAGGAGGTCCGTAGATGCTGCTTCTCTCTATTCTCTTCACTTGCTTGTTTACTTCTGTTTATTCAGCTTGTGCCTTTACTTTCTCTGCTCTTATTTGGCTGATATTAATTACTGTCTTACTATCCCTCCTTTCTTGAATCTTATCCAGAATGTCCACTGAGATCCATTCCTTTGTGATAGTGTTCTATATGACCGAGAACCACATGACATGTCGATGTGACTGCTTCCTTGATCCTCTCTTCTAGCTGTTCTCCAACGTAGTTTCCTCTCCATTGAATAAATCATGAAATGCTTGAAACCTAGCGCTGAGTGTTATCTTTTGTGATGCCTTTTCAACCAGTTGTCTAGTGCTTTTTAGTTTTAGCTTCATTTTACTTACTTACTTACTTACTTACTTACTCATGTTACCCCCAATGGAGCATAGGCCGCCCACCAGTTTTCTCCAGCCAAATCTGTCCTGGGCTTCCGTCTCCAGTTCTGTCCAATGTTTGTTCATTCCTCTCATATCTTTCTCTATTTCTCGGCGTAAGGTGTTGCTTTTAGGCCTTCCTCTTTCCCTTTGACCTTGAGGGTTCCATGTGAGGGCTTGTCTCGTGACGCAGTTAGATGCTTTTTATAGTGTGTGTCCTATCCACTTCCACCGCTTCTTCCTCATTTCTTCCTCCACTGGAATCTGGTTTGTTCTCTACCACAGTACATTGTTGCTGATGATGTCTGGCCAACGAATCCGAAATATTTTACGTAGACAACTGTTAATAAACACTTGTATCTTCTGGATGATGGCTTTCGTAGTTCTCCATATTTCCGCTCCATACAGTAGAACTGTCTTGACATTTGTATTGAAAATCCTGATTTTGGTTTTAGTTGAAAGTTGTTTGGAGTTTCAGATATTTTTCAATTGTAGAAATGCAGCCCTTGCTTTTGCCAATCCGTGCCCTCACATCTACATCGGATCCACTTTTCTCGTCAATGATGCTGCCCAGATATGTAAAGGTGTTCACATCCTACAAGGCATCAGCTTCATTTTGGCTATCACCAAATGTTAATCTGAATCTCTGTTAACTATCTTATTGATTTCTTCGAAAAAATAGTTCTACATTTGTTACAAGGTTGCTTTAAACTATATCATTTATTATTACTTTTCAGTTAGAGTTATGGAAATCATTGTTATTACACAATGAAATCATGAATCACTATCATTGTTAGACCACCATTAGAAACCTGTAAACATCGGACCGCCGCTTCGTAATGATATGACATTCACCAGTAGTGCGTATCTACGACTCTTGAACCTCGCAGGATCCGAACCTGGGACCTTCTGTCTTGCACGCTTAACCTCTGGACCATTGGGTCGGCATCCAACGGTGTTAATGTTTAACTCTCATCAACCTAGAGATTTTGCGCTACCTCACGCATTTGTCTTTGGTAGTTACTATCTACATCTGACAGGGCTAAACTCCGCTAGTCACATCCTCTCACTTGATCTCCGAGAATTTCCTCACAAAGCTAGTCACTAGTCAGCAGATTTTACGATTTTGCCAATTACAGTTATGGAGACTAGTGTTCTTGTACATACTGAAACTATCAATCAATCATTGTGGTCCTGGGTTCAAATCCTGAGACTGACAGAAGTTGTGGATGCGCACTGCTACTAATGAGTCCCTTACCAGGACGAAACGGCCGTCCAGTGCTTCCACGTTTCTAATGGTGGTCTAACAATTATATTGATTGATTGATGATTTCAATATCATTTACTCATTGTCTCTTCTTGTCTGTTTTGATGTATCATCTGCCAGGGTTCTTGTATTGGTTCATATGCATTCGCTGTCACAGCTGTCACTGAATCACAATATGCACTGCGTACATCAAATCGAAAAAATTTATCTGTACAACAATTTATTGATTGTACACGTATTTATGGTAATATGGGTTGTCATGGCGGCTATACATTCACCTTGTTTATTTATTTACAAAATTTTGGTTTGGAAACTGAAGAAAAGTATCCATTTACTGGTGCGGTATGTTTATACCCCGTTTTCTTTGTGTGTGTTTGTGTGAAAGATAATATTCATATAGTCACAGGATATTTTGGATTGTTGTAACGGTTGTTCAGATAATTCCCGGTTAAATCTTATTGCTTAGTATTCTTTGACACAAAACACTGGACAAGTCCCCCAAAATCAAAAAACACGGTTGAACAGGAAAGATTATATTCCAAAATAGCAAGGAATAAGAAGCCGGAGGTGATGGCGAAAGCCAAGGCAAAGATAAATACAACACTAGTCTAATTTTCACAATGGGAATCTTTAATACTAGTCTATTTATAGACTTTAAATAAGAAAGCTTCTGGAAGAAAATTCACGTGATCGGCTTGATTAGATTCAACCAATCAGCATGCAGCTAATAATACGAGAACTTCTCAGCAGTGCGCATCCACGACAGCTGCACCCCGCAGGATTCGAACCCAGGACCCTCGGTACTGTGCGTGAACGCCCTAACCGTCAGACCACTGATCCGGTAGTTAACGGTATTGATGTCTAACTTGATCAAATTCACGGAGTTGCGCAACCTCATACACAGTCTTCGGTAGACACTGCCTACACCCAAACAGGTTGAACTTCACTGGTCACGTCTTCCCACTAGAACTCGGAGAAGATTCCTCACGAAGCTAGTCACTAGTAAGCACAGGTAATTTTCATTACAGGAGTTGTGAAGACTGGTAAGTTACACATTTTTGAAACCATGAATCGATCAATGTTAGACCACCATTAGAAGACGTCACCGGAAGACGTGACCAGTGAAGTTCAACCTGTTCGGGTGTAGGCAGTGTCTACCGAAGACTGTGTATGAGGTTGCGCAGCTCCGTGAATTTGATCAAGTTAGACATTAACACTGTCAGATACCGGCTCAATGGTCTGACGGTTGGGGCGTTCGCGCCTAATACCGAAGGTCCTGGGTTCGAATCCTGCGGGATGCAGGAGTCGTGGATGCGCACTGCTGAGGAGTCCCATACCAGGACGAAACGGCCGTCCAGTGTTTCCAGGTTTCTAATCGTGGTCTGACATTGATCGATTCATGGTTTCAAAAATGTGTAACTTACCAATCTTCACAACCCCTGTAATGAAAATACGAGAATTTTCTATCCTGTTCTCCAAGCTTCGATCAGGCGCTGATTGGATAGGAAATTAGCCAATCAGCGCGTAGCGACGTAGTCATGCTTTAATTCCATTTATGTCTCACTAACAGGATGCTATCATTTAAAATAATTCATTACTTTTCATGATAGGGTTATAAAGATTGTTGAGCTGCGTTGATGAAATCATGAATCAATCATTGTTTTAGCCTAGCATTAGAGAAAACCTGGAAGCATTGAAAGACGGTCGTGCTATCCTAACTAGTATGAGACTTATTCGCAGTGCTCATCGTCGATCCTCAGGACGTTCGGTTTTGTGTGATAACGCTTAAACCTGTAGACCGTTGAGTCGATATCCACTGATGTTAATGTTAATTGAGCAACCTCACCCCATTGTCATCACCAGACAGGATGGAATTACACTTGTCACGACTCCTTCTCACTAGAAGACACTTGTGAGATCACTAGAGATGAAGTTGCTCAATACTTTGGATTATTTGAAATCAGATATTAATATCACTAGATACCGACCTAATGGTCTCGACGTTGAGCAATGACATGCAGTACTGAAACTCCTTGGTTAGATTTTCTTGTGAGAGGTCATGGATGCACACTGCGGATAAAGCGATAAAGTTCTAAGCAGACAGTACGCAGTTCAAGTCGCAGAGTGAGCATCAGCCCTAGGATGTGGCATTTACCTAACACCAACCAAAGGCAAGTTCAAAATAGGACCAGTCACTCATCTTGCATTCCACTGCTAACCACTTTCCATCTCTACTCTCAAATCAGTTGTTGACCGAGAACAATATCATTGAGTTAACTCTTTATAAATACGACTAGGAGTGATCTTTTGTTCCCCAGATACCGACTTAATGGTCTCGAGGTTGAGCATTCACTTGCGATACTGAAACTCCTTGGTTAGATTTTCTTGTGAGAGGTCGTGGATGCACACTGCGGATAAAGAGATAAAGTTCTAAGCAGACAGTACGGGGTTCGAGTCCCAGAGTGAAAATGAGCTCTAGGATGTTGCATTTATCTACCAAAAGGCAAGTTCAAAATAGGACCAGTCACTCTGTTAGGATATTCATCCAATATCCTAAGAGAATTATTGGTCAAATCCTATTGGTCGATTTCCGTTGGTCAAAATTATGGTCGTTATAACTGTCAAAATCAAATACTTCAATGTTGTTTCTTATTGGTTGTCCTGACTATCAATGTCACTTCAAATGTTACTTCCTATTGGTCGTTTTAACTGTCGATGCCACAGAATTTGATGTTGTTTCCTATTCGACCAAAATGTATAAATACGCATTATCTGTAACGTTTATTGACCACGACCAGGACCAGGACTCATTCCCGGATTCCTAAGCCGGGCTCCTGTTTCTCTTTTGGATTCGAACCTCGTACTTTCTGGATGCTTGTAGAATACAACATGTTCTACTTCATATCATATCTTCTTATTTTAACTAAATATGGGGGTTTTAATAATCGGATTTGAGTAGCATGTCGTGTCATCGGATCCTCGCTCTCGTTTTTCCGACTAGGTAAACTCGTAATAGTTCAAGTATATCAAAAGTTGACGTGTTTACGTGCAGGCGTAACTCACTCATCCTGCATTCCACTGGTAACCACTTTCCATCTCTGCTCTCAAATCAATTGTTGACTGTGAACAATATCATTGAGTTAACACTACTTTATAAATAAGACTAGGATTAAATTTATTGTAATTCATCTTGTTTATTGTTGTTGTTATTGATTTTGGTGTTTATAAGGATCAAGATTGTTTAGCGAATAGTTCCGATGTTGTAATTCAATCGATCGGTTTTAAATTTCATCGACATGGTTATGAAACAATTTTAAAATGGGCATTATACAATGAAGGTCCATATGTTATATCAATGAATATTGATGAGAAATTTTTACATTACAAGTAAGTGAATAGATTCATTAAAAAGAAAGAGAGAGTGAGTTTGTTTTTTTTGACATGAGTTGAAATGGGCTGGAACAGTGCTCAAGTGCTGAAACTGAGGAGGTTACTCCTCCAAACTTTGAGGTCTAATCCACAAGACCATGAAACAACTTTAAGAGATGCAGCCCCATGGTAGCCAATGATGAAACAGTAGATTTATGCGATATTGGAGCCCGCTCACTTTTCGTTCTGTTAATTTTGGTAAACAACACTCAATTAGTAGAAGACCTACTCTGTCAGTGGTTGTAATATGGTGTAGTCATATGAGAACATTTGGAAAGGGAGAGTATACTCTCGTCCATCTTGACTGTACCAGGACATTTGAGGGCGATAAACATAGTAGGAAATTGAATAATCTTAATAAGATCTATTATGGGGTTGTGTAGATTGTTAAGTTACTCATTGAAATCTCCACAAGTTCAATGCGATTACCTGTGCTCACTGGTGACTAGCTTCGTGAGGAATCTTCTCGGAGTTACAGTGAGTAGTCGTGACGCGTGGAGTTCAACCTTGTTAGGATGTAGACAGTAACTACAGAAGACAGTATATGAGGTTGTGCAAGACCGTGGATTGATCGAAGTCAGGCGCTAACATCAGGAGATACCAGTTCAGTGGTCCAGAGACTAGGCGTTCGCGCGCAAGTTTGAGGGTCTTGGGTTCGGATCCTTAGAGGTGCGGGAGTCGTGGATGCGCATCGTTGGTGGGTCCCATATCTATCCAATCATTATTCACTCTTCTCATGCCTGTCTCCATTTCTCGACTTAATGTGTTCCTTAGCATACCGCTTTTCGTTTGACCTTGAGCGTCCCAAATATGCAATGTACAACTTATTGATCACAATTGACATAAACCCCGAAAGACATATCAGAGGGAGAAAATCATGTGAATAGAGTAAGTATTTTATAGTTGAAAGCATAACATATATTCGTGAACAACCATGAATTGATGAAAAAGTTAAACTCAGTTATTATCCAGTCTTGCAATGAGCATAGTGAATTTGCGATGTTTATATATGGATTAATTCAATCAATGATCAATGGCAGCCATCTGCTCATCATCGTAAAGGACTATTCAATATTGTGGGCGGGAAATTGGAAAACTACGAAAGACATCATCCAAAAGATAGAAGTATTCATTAACAGTTGTCTATGCAAAATACTTTAGATCCGTTGACCAGACACCATCAGAAATAACCTACTGTGGGAGAGAACAAAACAGATTCCAGTGGAGGTGGAAATCAGGAAGAAGTGGTGGAAGTGGATAGGACACACACTACGAAAAGCACCTAACTGCATCACGAGACAAGCCCTCACATGGAACCCTCAAGGCAAAAGGAAAAGAGGAAGGCCAAAGAATACATTACGCCGAGAAATAGAGAAAGATATGAGAAGAATGAACAAAAATTGAACAGAACTGGAGAGGGAAGCCCAGGACAGAGTTGGTTGGAGAAAACTGGTGTGCGGCCTATGCTCGACTGTGGGTAACAGGCTTAAGTAAGTAAGTAGATGACAATTACTAAGAATCCTCAAAGTCAAAGGGGAAGAGGAAGGCCCATAAACATATTACGCTAAGAAATGGAGACATATATGAGAAGAACGAACAAAAATTGGACAGAACCAGAAATGGAGGCCCAGGACAGAGTAGATTGGAGTATGCTCGTCAGCGGCCTCTGCTCCATTTAGGGTTAACAGACGTAAGTAAGTGCGTAAGTGCGTAAGTAAGTGCATAAGTAAGTGCATAAGTGCATAAGTAAGTAAGTAAGTAAGTAAGTAAGTAAGTAAGTAAGTAAGTAAGTAAGTAAGTAAGTAAGTAAGTAAGTAAGTAAGTAAGTAAGTAAGTAAGTAAGTAAATAAGTAAATAAATAAGTAAGTAAGTAAGTAAGTAAGTAAGTAAGTGCATAAGTAAGTAAGAAAGTAAGTAAGTAATTCAGCATTGTGCGTTCACGACCCTACTATCGGAGACTGAACCCAGATCGTTCAGCTTCATAAGTCAACGCTAAACTTATTATAGAATCTTATTCATTAATATATTTCGCCAACCTTACTTGAATTTCGCTAATTTTCTATACATTTGATGGGTACTTGAGAAAAGTAAACTACGTGTAGTTTGTAATTTATCGTTTTCGTTTTTTATCAGGTCAGGCATCTATCAATCTGATACATGTACACATTATAATTTAAATCAAAGTATGTTACTTGTTGGTTATGGTTATGATAATGATGGTATCGATTATTGGATATTACAAAATAATTGGGGAAAAAATTGGGGTGAACAAGGTTATGTGAAAGTATTGCGTAACAATTGGAATATGTGCGGTATTGCTTCAATGGCATTTCGACCAATATTGAGAGGTTTTTAATTCAATTTCCATTACATTTTTAACAATTCATTTGTACTACTTTAATGGTTAATTAAGTAGTCAATAAATTTTGATGAATAATTTTTCGGAATTTCTAATTTTAAACTCATTATGTGTGATTTTCTAACATATTCTTAATCATTTTAACAGAAATATCATCAGAATAATGTTGACAGTGTAATTTTTTTATAAGTAAAGAGTTCTATCGTTACTCATCTTTTGATGTCATCAGGATAAATATTCACAATTAGATCATATTACTAAATATTACTGGTAAGAGTTGGTATTTTATTGTTGATGCTGTCAAGGACTGTACTTTATAGGTGATATTTCACATCTACACATTATGACTGTATCGTCTCGTTATCAGTGAATAATCAAGATTATTTTGATGCGTTCAGGAAGTGTTTAGAAGCAGAATTGATTGTCTCACATATTTCGTCCTATTTGGTACTCTTCAGTTTGACGTGTCTGTGTCCCACTAATCATGTTCACATGGAAACACCCTTATCCAGTGCGTTGTGTTATGAACACTCTAAACTTTGTCCACTGAGCCATTGAATCCAAACTAGTCACCTTTTCGACTCGATAGATTAAAATGAATTATTTACGGGGGTTAGAAGCAAAATGTTTTGGGTTGGGCTATTCGTTATAAACATTATCACTGGGATGCAGGCAGATTCATCTGACGAACACTAGGTTAGATGATTAGCACCCTACTAATTCAATTTCTCACTGCTATTCACCATTATTAAAAAATATCTATGAACAATTAATGTAGTTGAATACGTATAGTCTTCATTTTCTGTAATTTACAAAACATGATATAAGTTTCATTGAAATCATGAATTGATCAAAGTTAGACCACCATTAGGAATTTGGAAGCACTGAGTGGCTGTTTCCTACTAGTATGGGATTCAACAGTAGTACGCACCTATGGACAACTAGCGACTAGCTCCATGAGAAAATTCTCGAAGTTCTAGTGGGAATCCGTGAATGATAGAAATCACTTGAGTCTAGTATTAGTCAATTACTCACCGAAGACAATCGAATAATATTCGTGCACTATCGTGAATTGATTGAAGTGAGGTATTAACACCGTTGGATGCTTATTCAGTAGCCGAGAGTTTAAATGTTCACACGTGAGACCACAGTCTACTGCCAATTAGTCCCATATTTCCCGGTTTTCACTAGTAATCTCAGTCAGTAAGTCAGTCAGTCAGTTGCATCGTAGAACTTCGTACGTATGTACATAAGTTCATGTTGCCATACCACCACATTAGTACAGAGACGCAGATGTCAATTCAAATCCCATAGTGATAAAGATAGTAGAGGTATTAATGGTAATGAAGAAGACTACGGTTCGAAGATATTATTCAAGAAGTATAATTCAGTAAGATAAGGTTAGAAAGACAAAAGTAGAGGTGCTGACGATTCCAGAATATTAGGATTTGAGAGAGTCAAACAACGAATGGATGCACTTGCGCCATTGCAAACGATTTTGAGCCATGTCGTTCAAGGTCTCTAACCATAGATGACTTTCGTCTCGCGGACCCCAACCAGGTAGTCGATATCTATCAACATGACTCAGTCCACTTGTCAGTGACTTCATGGATTTGTGCCATGTTTTGGTCTGGCCGCCCCTAACTTTCTTCCAACCTACTCCTACACCACAAAACATAGCTTGTCGAGGCAGTTGGTGGTTAGGCGTACGCAGCACATGTCCCAACCACCTCAACTGATGAGGTTTCATTACTTCATCTATTGATCTGTCATCCTTACTTAGCATCCGTTTCCTAAGGACAGCATTGCTCACTCGGTTGTCCCACGGTATACGAGCAATGCTTCTTAAACATCTGTGATCGAATACTAGTAACCTACGAACATCTTCTACTCTTACCGGCCATGTTTCGCATCCGTATAGGAGAACGGAGCGAACTGCTCTACAGTACACCCGTCTTTTGGTTAGCGAACGGATATCACGTCTACGCCATAAGTGACGCAGGTTGGCAAAAGCCAACCACTAGTAATCTAACATAGACTAGTCCATGATTTCTCTCAAATCAAACAATCTCTGCGCAACCTTTTACTAACAATCTATTGATTATTGAATGAGTTCAAGAAAAAAATTATTTCTAACTTAAAGCGATTCACTATGTTTGCTGATCCTTATTTGTTGATATAGACCGTTGTCAGTCAAGTTTGCTAACTATCAGCCTTTCTCCTTCTCCTTGTGATTGACTGTATTATGAAGACGTCAATATCTGGAGAGAAGCTTGGATTGCAGTGAACAGTTAGGATACATACAGCTGGACGACGTGGACTTCGCAGATGATCTGGCTCTTCTATCTCACATGTAACAAAAAATTTAAGGGAAGACTACCAATGTAGCAACAGGCCTCAACATACATAAACGGAAAAGAAAAATATTCCGATGCAGCACAACATACACCCACCAAATCACACTTGACGGAGAAACTTTGGAAGATGTGAAAGCCTTCGCATATCTGGGCAGTATCATAAATGAGCAAGATGGATCTGACTGATGTAGACGTGAAGGAGTGGATCGGAAAAGCATCAGCTGCATTTCTACAACTGAACAACATCTGGAATTTAAAGCAACTATCAACTAACACCAAAATCACAATTTGCATTACAAATATCAACACAGTTCTACTGTATGGAGCGGAACCTTGCAGAACTACCAAAGCCATCATCCAGAAGATACAAGTGTTTATGAACAGTTGTCTCT